TGTTTCCTAAATACTCTATCTATAATACAATGATTTAAAGTTTGAAACATAAAACCTGTTATAACTGGATTTATAATGTGTACATTAAAATTGGATCCCAAACTATATCAGTGCTCTTATGTCAAGAAAATTTTGAGCTGCCAGCCAAAAAAATATGGGTCATAGTATCTCAAAAATTCACTATATATCTAATATTAACAATTGTTTTTTATAAGTAAAATTTTATTCTGAAAACTTTTACTTAGAGGTTGGAAGTTAGTTATCATAGTAAATTTTTGGGTTATTTACAATTTCTTACATTTTTCACGTTTGTTTTGTTACACAAGATCCTGTGATTTTATTGGATCCGGATAGGGTCAAAAGTGATCTTCAGCAATCTTCAGCTTGGGATTTCCTTAACATAAGGGCCTCAAACTATATATATTATTATCAGTAAGCAAAAATGGCGCACAGTAGTAAATCGATATACAACAGTAATATCGATATACCATTAATAGATAAATCCTTGAATTATATCTGTTTTTCATACTCATTACAACAAATGTTGATTATAAACTTGCCTGCAATTAAAAAATACAAATTAGAATGAACAGTATATGTGAATTAAAATAAAACATGATGGTCCAATGTTATAGCTTATTTTAATCCTAGCACTAGTATAAAAAAAAATCAGAATATGCAGTACAATACATATGAAGTCAATATAAAGCTTATCTAAATGCAAAATATAAACTTAAAGGTTCATGTACTACTGTTGCCTGCTACATTTTGTTTTGTTTCTAGCATTATAATCTGATTCACTACAAACTTTACATATATACTTTTGTTTCAACATATTATCATCTATAACTTGAATGTTTACATTAATATTGTCTGATAACACACAGATATTTCTTTTAGAGTTGTCAGAATTGAGAGCATGAAAAGAAGTCCTTGATGAAGCTACTTGTGGAGTATGTTGTTGCACATATAAATTCGGATTAACTGGATTAATTGCACTACTTTTTGAATTGACACAACATATGTTGGTTTCAGATACTGATTTGATTCTCTTGGTTGGAGGATGATCACGTCATTTCTGAATAACAGGATCGGATATATGGGAATTATTAATTTCATTTGTTTTATTGGTATAATTTTTTTTGTGATCTATAAATCCGTTAACCATATTAATAAACTCTTCCTCACAATCCAAATCTAATACTAAATTGAGGGCTTTTTTCATTTTTCCAAATCCATATGCGTATTTAGCTTTTCTTTGCACATGTTGTCTAACTTCATATATAAATGTATCTGACACTCTAAGCTTATTAAATATATGTAAATCAGCTGTTAATGGTTCATTATTGCTATCCTGTTGGAACTGTGTTATTATTCCCACAGTTTTATTTTCCAAATCATCTTGAATACCCCTATCTTGAATGTGTTCAAGGTACCATCGTTTGAAAATCAGACCAATACTAAATTTAGCAATCTTTAAACCTATCATAACTTGAAAAAAATGTGAACAGACAAGTCCACAATTGATTATAGCTATGCATGTACATAAATGACCACTATCTATTAGTAAAATGACGTAGTGCTTATATGATTTGGTAAGACTAAAGAGCTCCCAAACCTCTATAATATCAGATGATTCTATCTCTTCTAAAAGAAATTAAAGAGATGTCTGTGGCCTATCTAGTTGATCTTCAAGAAATCCATTATCATAATTGTGATCACTATTCTAATAAAAGCATACATTATTATTAATATTTATAATAATAACTAGTGATGGAATATTCCAAACAATATGCTAATTAATATCACATAGTTTTGGCAACAAAAAAAAAAAAACAGCAGAAACTGATGCTATGTCACAAATAGTTTGGATTACATCTATAACGATAACCCAATCCTAGTGTTAACATACCTTTATATTATTAATCGTTTCTTTTGAAATATTTCTAGCCTGATATAATAATGATCCAGTAATTTGTTGCTATTGAACTGATAAGATGTGCGGTATTAAATATTTAGTTATTAATTTGATGACTTCAGGAAATAAAGATTCAATGATTGATGGTGCTTGGTTAGTTGGAAGACTTTGAAGGTACATATTGTGCCGAGCCCATGTAGCCTCATCATCTAACAAATTTTGAACTTGATCATGTAAATTACATAATGAAGACATACTACTAGTTCCATTCTTAATTAACTGATTCATAACTTCTACCTTTTGTGTACTCAGGATGCCAGCTGTAAAACACTTTAGTTAATAACATTTCGCCCACATTCGACAACACTTGTTTAAAGTGTTAAAATATCCTTGAGCTGAAGGATATTTTTCGATTAATCATTCCCAACATCGATGAAAATCCTTTTCAAAAAGACTATTTCAGGTGTGTTGAAATTTTTTATAAAATGATTTGTATTGTTGTCCTAATTTGCTGACTAAATTTTTTCTCAAGTTCTCTTTAATGTGGAAAATGCATAAAAAATGATGTGTATTAGATATCTTTGATGACAATGCATTTATTAAAGCAGGATCTGCATCCGAAAATAGACAAACAGGTGAAATGCCATTTGTTGATTTAAGAATACATTCAAGAAACCATTCAAAGCTATCAATAGTTTCATCTTCCAATAAACATTGGGTGACAAGCTGGCTTTTAGTATTGTTATCCACTATGACTAACAAAGTTAAATACATGTCGAACCAATTGGTTCGACATGTATTATCTATTTGTGCTACATCATTATATCTTATAAGGCACTGATGCTGAGCAGGAGACATCCAAAATAACCCTACGAGGCGATTATCAAATAGATCAATTCTAGTATAAATTATCCACCTGGGTTCTTGATCCTTTAATGCAAATAATTTATTAATTATATTTTGTGCATCTTTATGCCATTTGGTAAGTGGTGCTTTAATCTTTTGAACCTTATTGTAAAGATCCCTTTTATAAATATATTGATCTGGAAAACTTGCTACCAACAGTAGATATATTTGTTTTAACTCCATGTTGCCTTTAGTAACATGAAATCTAATCCTTTCTTTTATTTTTTCTGCCAACTTGTGGTACTTGGGAGCATATAAACGTATATCAAATATCATATCATGATTGTGGTCTCTAACAATGCTTGTAACTTTTATTTCTGATAATGATTTGGGGTTTGTTAAATTTATGTGCCATGGGCACATAATTTTTCTGGATTGTTGCTGACATTGTTGAGTTAAATCAATTATTTGATTAGAGGTAGGTGTACCAGAAAAGCTACACTCAAATGTCCGATGTCTAATAATTCCGTCACCATTAAGCTCCAAGCGTTTTTGACATAAGGTAAATCCAGTTGCTCTTGCATATTGATTGAGTTTCATTTCCGTCTCATCCTATGATAAAAAAGAATCACCAATATTAATTTGATTTTCCGATTCCAAAGTTAAAGACTCTGTTGAGGTGACCTTTTCAAGTGGAAAAATGCCTAAAAAGAATGTAGAATTTAGTTTAAAAAAGGTAAAAATCACAAATAAAACACTTTACTTAACATTTAAAAATTTAAATACTTGTGTTACTTTGAAGGTCTCAAAAGATAAATAAAGTAAATAAAGATAAAGTGCACTCTAATTAAACAAATCCTAGAAGCGTAAGCTTACCACTTGCATTGTTTTGACAGTTCTCAGAAAAAGATTCTAAAAAAAAAAAAAAATAGTAAAAATCAAGCAAACCCTAATGTAAAAATAAAATGAACTCTAATCAAATAAATTCTAGAGGCATAATGCTTGCCATCTATATTATCTTGATAGTTTTCAAAAAAAAAAATTTAAATAAGTAAAATGAACCCTAATAGAACAAAGTAAAGTGAATTTTGATGAACAAACTTTAGAAGTATATCACTTATCATCGTTTTGATAGTTTTCAGAAAAAAATTCTAAAGAAAAAAAAAAAGTATAATAAATGAAGCAAATCTTAATAGAAAAACCCAAGAATATAATACTTATCATCCATGCTGTTTTGACAGTTCTCGAAAAGAAACTCTAAAAAAAAAGGTAAATATAGTGAACCTTGTTCGAACAAACTCTAGAAGCAATATCATTTACTATCCATATTATTTTGATAGGTTTCAGAAAAGAATTCTAAAAAACAAGAATAAGTAAAATAAAGCGAAAAAAGTAAAACCTAAGCGAAATGACTTTAGAACATAATACTTACTATCTGCATCATTCTGATAGTTTTCAGAGTAAAAGTCTAAAAAAAAAAAAGAAAAAAATATATTAGAATGTAACCTAAGCGAACTGACTTTAGAATATACAATAGTAAACAAAAAACACAAACTATTAGTATATAGCATTTACTATCTGCATCATTCTGACAGTTTTCAGAATAAAGGCCTAAAAAAAAGAAAAAAAATAATAGAACGTAACTTAAGTGAACTGACTTTAGAACATAGCATTTACCATCTGTATTATTCTTATCATTTTCAGAGCGAAAGCCTAAAAAAAGATTAAAAAAATATTAGAACAAACCTTAACCAACAATGAAGTCTAAAAAATATAATGCTTACTATCCATATTAGCATGGTACTAAATAAATTGTATTATCATATGTAAGCTTATAGGTATGATTTCTTTGCTACTTGGCTTCTAAAACCCACGTTCACTTTCCCACGAAGATTTTTTAGGCATTGATTTACAAAAATAGTAAAAGTTTGATCACAAATTAATCGAACTTTTATTTATTTGCTACAAATAATGACACGACCCCTATATTTGTTAAAAATAAACTCCGATACACCTGTGCTTTTCTCTTATTATTTGTGCAACTGGTAATGATCACCACTGGTTATTTAAAGTAAATACCTTTTTAAATAATATAAATATAAAATATATATTAAGAGGTTTATTTTATATATATAAATATAAATAAAATTTTTAAATTTTAAAAAAATTTTTTTTTTTTTTCAGTATTAAGGTGACCTCTTTGGTCTTTTGATTTTATTAATACTTTTGTCAGGTATCATGACGAGTGTACAACTGGCTACACATGTAATTTTTCTATATTACTTATTTAAGAGGTCTACCCGAAGGTTCCCTACCAGTTGCTGTACCTAACACCTCTGCTTAAGTGTTTCATTTAAACCCTCTGATCCGAAACTCTTGTACCAACTTCACTAAGTCAAGCCTAGATCCTCATCTCAACCTTAGGACTATTTTATCCTCGAGATAAACCTACCAGAGCCTCTATGTCCCACACACAGCTAACTTAGATTTCATGTAACATGCTATAATTACCTAACACTTGCAATCAGAGCTAATCTTAAACTGCTACATTACATTATTTTTACCCTTAAAAGTTCACCCAAACCCTGGTACTTATCTTTCCAACTTCTTCTCATCATTCCTATACTATCCAACTCAGAATCTGACAGACTTTCCAGACTCCCAATCTAGATAGCCCGATATGGTATACCTTTTGGTATCCTTTTCTTTAGGCGATTCTGGCAGCCTGGTTGGTCATATGCTTCTCTACACATCTTTCCATCTGGTTGCATGTCTGCCTATTCCTTATTGGGGTTTCCTGGGCTTCCATCGGTCCGACAGCACCATCAAAGGTTTGTGCTACCTCTTTCTCAGGATTTCTAAGTGGGATTCCATCTCCTCGGTTTCTTGGTCTTCTGCATCTGATGGTCTTATCATAGGTTTGCACTGGAATTTTATGCAATCCCAGTTTTAACATTCCTCTATGTACATGTAATATTACACTTCGTATAGATGCCCTGGGCTTCCAATAATGAGTAGAACATGATTGGTTGTACCCAAGATTACAGATACCTAAATCCAACCGATTAACAGAAGACAGTTTAGCTGTAATACAGGTTAATTTCCAAATTTCGTCGTAGGTGGGATTTGAACCTTAAACCTGCTA